CCACGTCAAGTGGTTGTAATTTCCCCGAAGTGTGGGGATGAATAGTGAGGAGATTGACTCCACAATCTTTTGCCAACTGTATGGCTTCAATGCTCAAATGTGACTCGTGGTTATCCATTACCAACATACTAGGATTTTCTTTGCAAGAGTTCGTATGCTTGATAAAATGTTTCATTACTTCTGTGAAACTATCCGCGTTCATCCATCCACTAGGCGTTGCTAAGCCGAGTGTTCCTGCAGGTGTGTTTTTGATCATATGATCTTTGAATTTTTTCCTAGGAAATATCATAACTGGTGGCAAAGCGTTGCCGCTGGCACTTACAATGCAGCATGTGGTTACCAAAGTTCCTCTCTCACCACTTGTGACTTTTCCAATGCATTTTCTGCCTAATGGTGCTATTACTTTTTGAGGCTTTTGCACTGTTGTCGTTGATGTTTCATCCAGATTAAATATACGGGTACCATTTGCAAAAGCCGAGTTTCTCTTGATCAGATCTTCTAAATTATTGTAAAAATTATTGACGTTGTTTCGGTTGAAGGCTGTAGGTCTTGCTAGGCTACAAGGTTCTGGTCTCCTGGAAGAAAACCTGTTCCTACGTTTGAACAAAGTTAACCAGTCCTTACCCGCCATTTCATTGTCTGTCCAAGATTTAGGCATCTTTATATTATTTAGCTTAGCACATTGATACGCCACTTGACGACATTCTCTTGCAGTTAATCTGTAAAACAGAAGAGCGCAATGCGAAAAATATTCCTTCAACTTCTCTTCTTGGGATGCGGTAAAGATCTGGTTCACAGAATAATTCGGCTCGAATCGCTCCTCATCGAGATTTTCGGAACCAGCAGTTTTCCAATAATACCTCTTCAGGGTAATAAATGGCACACCACAACTTGTAGCTGCTTTTCTGATAGACATACCCTGCCTTATTAATAGTACCCCAGCTTTAACGTCTGCAGCGGAGCTGTTGCCAATTTTTCTCATTGCCCGTTTCTTGCGAGGCATTCTGAAACAAATATTCAAGTAAGCGGTACACAATGGTTCACTAATAGTACACAGTGGCTCGTGAACCACTGTCTACTTCCACGTGCTGAGCCACTGTCGACCGTGACGCCATTTTGAAATATATGTCTTCTGTGCCATATTCACGTTGCACTGGCTGTTCTAAGCAAAGTTAAAATTATCTTGCTTCTACTTACTTTACTACAAAATATAAATAAATAATAAACTACAGCAATTAAGCTAGAATTTTAAAGTCAAACTTACCTGGAAATGTAATTTTGGGTACCTGAAAACCAACACAAAGGCGAGACGCGTGCTATCAGTGCTTTAGTTGCTGACCGACTGGTTCATGCGCATTTGTGTCGTAAACACTTGATGTAGATGACTGCGACAGATAGATAGTCTCTCTCGTTTTGGAGATATTGAATGGAGCCACTGTACCCGACTGAGCCACTGTTCCCGACAATACCCTACTGTTTGTATCATATCCATATATATTACATTATTCAAAGTATAGGGTATTTTTGTTGACTTTGATCTGCCCAAACTTTGAAGAGGATTAAAATCCTCAAAACAACAAAGAACACAATTCATTGTTCATTCCTCACGAATTGATCTAATTGAAGTACTAGACTAGACTCGACAAAATGATGATATAAAGATTCCAGTTGTAGTAATCTTTAAATGGAGATTAAATGTTTATTCCACAATGAATTATATTCTTTATCTCCAGTTTAATCATAAACAAATAGAAATGTGATGTTTGAAAGAAACATTCCCACAACATGCTGAGAATGAACTATTCAATTTCTAAAATGCAGTGAAAACTGTGCATTAACATCAATACTGTATAAAGTTATTTCACTACCATACTTGTATGAAAATAAACTATGACTTTGCCAATACTCCATTGTCCAACATTAGATTCTGACACCTTGGTAGGGTGAATGTACCGATGGACAGACAGGACAGGTTAGAGAAAAATGGAATTCAAAGTGTAATTATGAATTTTGTGTTCAACATAACTAAACTAAAATCTTTTTGGAGGTAACAACATACGAGGGATGTCTTTTAAGTTTTACATATAGAAACCTAGTAGGCCGCGCGGATCGAACGTCAGTACTGAATCCTAACCTCACTCTTTAGCAAACTTAAATTCAAAATTTCACAACAATACGTGCAGTGTTCTCACTACAGCAGTGAATTTTTAAGTGTCACCAAGTCATTAGAAAAATGGAACTCAACCGAGAACATTTTCGCGCCATAATTTATTACAACTTTCAGAGACAATTATCGCAACAAGAATGCCTTGCTGAGTTACTGTCTGTTGTCTGTTTTCGGCAACGAAGCGCCTCATCAGTCGACAATTTTCCGTTGGTATGGAGAATTCAAACGTGGACGGGTTAGTCTTAGCGACGATCCCAGGGTGGGTGCACCAAAAACGGCAGTCACCCAGGAAAACGTCGATGCTGTGCGCAAACTCATCATTGAAGAAAGACATGTGACATATCGCGAGAATGAGACGTCCTTGAAGATCTCAAAGACCTCAATTCAAAAAAATTTACATGAAGAATTAGGAGTAAGAAAATTAGTTTCTCGTTGGATACCCCACCTGTTGACTGAAGAGCAGAAAGCAGCCAGGGTTAATTGGTGTCAAAAAACGCTTGACCGTTTCAATTCCGGAAATTAAAAAAATGTTTACAGCATTGTTAGTGGTGATGAATCGTGGATTTACTGTTATGAAACAGAAAATAATCGACAGTCGGCTGTTTGGGTGTCATATTGCAACAATTCCTCTTAATGAGCAAAGAACTGTTACTGCGGATTGGTATACTACCATTTGTTTGCCAAAAGTCATCACCGAGCTTCAAAAAATCAACCCCGAAAGAGGAATCATCCTCCACCAAGACAATGCAAGCTCGCACACAGCTCAGAAAACAAGGCAGTATTTAACGGAAGAAAACGTGGAATTATTGGACCATCCTCCATATAGTCCCGATCTAAGTCCGATTTATTTACTTTCCCGAAAATTAAAAACAGACTGAATGGTCAAAGGTGCCAGTCATCAAAAGAAGCAGTTGACGCATTCAAAAATGCCGTTTTGGATCTGCCAGCAAACGATCGGAATAATAATCTTTGTGGAGAATACTTCGAAAAACAAAGTCATTTAAAACTACCTACCGTGTTGTTTTATTTCAATATGCAAAACTTAAAAGACATCCCTCGTATATGCTTAACTTTTGCAGACAACAAATACATTGCTTATAGATAGTCCTGTAATTTTATAAAACGATATTGATCAAAAAGGTGCTGTTTCACCAGTAGTTGGACAGAAGGTTCTACTAGTCGGCCAGCTAGTTGCCAATTTTCAGACAGCATTTGATTGGCTCAGTTTAGACAGAACTGTATTTAAAAATTTGTTATAACAGAATAGAGTTTTCAAATCAGTCATGTCATTAAGACTTTGAGAAAAATACCTATTTGTATCAAAAATACATACAAACTACACAAAAATGAACAAGAAACTAATTTTTTCCTTTAGCCTGGTCCTGCACTGTCGACTACTACTACCACACCGTTTACACATTTTAGGCAATTTCCCAATATTTCTCACAGCTTCACTGTATTTACAGAACTTTATTTCATAGCATCATGAAAAAATGGCGGGTAAATGGAAGTGACTGGTTATTGGGATGCTATGAAATTTTTTTCACTTCAGTAGTTGGATACAATATCACTGGCCATAATCTACATTATTTTTTATCTTTAGCTGGCTGGGGCTTTAGTTGTAATTTAGTTTGTTTAATGCCAGGAGAGAAGTCTGTTAGTATATATGGTTAGATAGAAAAATAAATATTGATAACAACCATGCAAGCAACAAGCAGCTGACTATTGTATTTTGACCTCAAAATATTGAAAGAACATATTGAGATTATTTTTTTTTCGTAATTTTTGAATGTCTTGCAGAACAAGAACAGCATTGATATACTGTCAGCTGACGATTCCATTTGCCTTTAAAAGTTTGTCATTCACTACACAACTGATAAAAACTGAGGAATTGAATGAATGCTGTTTTTTATGTGCTAATACTGTTATTAATACAACAACTGTAGATGTGTAATTTTCTGGTACCAATTATCAGCAAGTACAAAATTTCAAATATTCAAGTTTTTACTCATAATATAAGATTTGTCTGGCTACCAGTAGTGTCCAGTTACTGACACATTCAGCCTAGGATGATTTTGTCGTTAATATTACTGCTACGAGGGTACTGGTATTCACTACAGACAGCAGAGTAATTAAGAAAAGACAGATGCAAACTAACCAGTATCATAAATGGGACAAACAAAACTTGGTATATTTTTACTTAAGGCAGGAAGTAAAAGATACAGTGACTTGCCTAGATTGACAAAAGATATTCCTCCATTATGTCTCAGCTTTACAAATTGACTAATTACCACAACTTGTTTTTCAATTGTTCTGAGCCTCAGCAGTGGCTTATAATGCAAAATTAAATTTTCAAAAACGTACCTCCGCTCAAGTCAGGTGTCAGCTTGATCCTTCCTTGGTCCAACACATCATTGAAAGCTGGCCATCCGCAACCACTATCATACTTCGTTTCTGAGCTAAAGAGGGGTTGTTCACATACTATACAAGCATATGTTCCAGCATCATATGTTTTGTTATAGCAACCTATTAACATATTTTTTTGAGAATAAGTAGTTAAAGTTTGAACTGTCAAAATTACCAGAGAATGGTCTTTCAGTCCCTTTTTCCTGTGTTACTTGATACTGTAGAGGTGTCAGCCTTTTCCGTATTTCCTCCTTACTGATTTCTTTAGCCATGTTTACAGCTGCAATTGTATTAAAGAACTGAGGAAAGTGTGTCAAGATTGCGAAGCTATAAATACTTTTAAGACCACATGTGACTAAATTTGGATTGAAAAGCTATTTTTACCTGATGTGTGTAGGCTAGATGGTGTGGATTGTGGTATTTGATTCAGTATTATGCTTGGATATTTGGTTTTTCCAAGAGCTGACCTAAATATGAATCTGGACATTACATACTATAGGTATTGTATTATAATTGGAATTGTATGCTTGAATTATTTATAGATCTAATTTCCTGTTTAGGCAAATTAAACTTTGACACTTGGATAAGCAACTTATAAACATAACCTCTACGTGCAGTGAAGCGTGTCAAACAGATAAACAAGAGTTTTTGCACATATATATCCTCACTGTCATTTGACTTGAGTTAGTTTCATACAGAAATTTCACTTTGTCAAATACACATGCATTATGACCACTCTGTTACGGGTGATTCGGTGATTGGATCCACAAAAATGGTGTCACACTTGACAAGCAAATACAGGCGCGGATTAAGGGGGGGCGACAGTGCCATTAGCCCCCTCCCAAGGCCTCAGATTTGTAGGAAAAATGAGGAAGAAGGAGAGACCACATTATTGTTTTTGGTTTGAAGGGATAACTTAAAATAAATGTGCATTCTGTTCATACAAATACTTCTCTCCTTAATTACTTCATAATAAGCGCAAAGTACTCTCTGACAGTAGGCAATGTCCACTACTTGCCCCCTCCAAGACGTGATTCTGAATCCGCGCCTGAGCAAATACAATAGTGCATATATTTAATATTTTGAGAATATAATAGTATCCACATTCATATGTTCACGGCATTCATTTTGTGATATTCATTAAGTTTCCCTTTGTTGATCTCCATTGTGAATCTCCACAATTCCTTACAAAAGGTAGATTAGGAGGTCTCCCTTTATACTACAGCCCGCTTGAGTACACAATACATTGTACCATGATTTTGTGAGCATGATCAACAGCATCAACAGTGCATGAACAGGTTTGCTGAGTCAGCTTGGTAGCCAATCCACATATGACATTGCCAAGCTAACACTGTTAGCCTATTCATATGGGCCCACGGCGCTCGGGCCCAGTGCCCTGGTTTGTTGGGAGGGCCCGAATACCCAAAAATCAAAATGTCTGAATACCCCTTTCCGCGTTTCAATTTTCCTCAGCGGTAAAATAGAGCCCCGTATTTTGCTCTGGCCCCTTCATCCGCAGGCTGAGCTTCCTCTATGCCCAGGGGCCCCCCACATAGTTTGCTGTCGGATTTACAAGGGCAGATAACTCAACGTCTCTAGTTCAGTCATCGATCGAGAGTTATTGATCTTCGTCAGAACGCCTCAAAACCCGTGAACAATGTGGTGCCTCCATCTATCTGGAGCACCACAAAACCGCCCCTTGCCGGGACCGCAGGGTGTCCACCAACACATTTTATTCATTATTTGACACCCAGTTTCACTAATTTGTTTCTTAAAATGCGTATTACTCTCATTATTTTGGGGTGTATAACATTACCGCGCATTTTCCTACCAAAATACCGAGGGATGCAGTCTGTGGACGCTCTGAGGTATAGGATACTCACAACACCCGTCAATTGTGTCTTAGTTATCACCAAGTAATTCAAAAATATCTATACAATGTTAATCTTGCTCTGAAAATCGCTTTTATCTTTTACAGTTTTTCTATTAAAAAGTTCTTTCCATTTTCGTTGGGACACTGTGATGTGTTCACGTGATTTTCATTATATTGTTAAGTCTACAATAAAGACGAGTTAGTTTTCGTAAAATTCTACAGGCAGGCTTACGGACAGTGGCTAAGGCACCAGAATTTAACATCTTCTATCTCCTGCATTTTTGGGTTTTGCGCCCATTGGAACATTTGAACAATATGAACTATAACTATACGAACCGATGGTCAATTAACATATGTTTTGTGCCTGGTACTTGTGAACGCATTAATTTTTTTGTAAAATAATATATTACCTTCGTATTTCGATATGAGATTGATGGATGCTGGCCTTACTTCCGATCGTTTTCTCCCGAGAATGAGACATCAAGCAAACTCTTCTATCAGTATTCCGAAATACAGTTCCCTGTAAGCTATGCTCACTTTATGGGTGGTTATCTGAAATTTGGTTAACTTGGTGTTAGCATGAATTTTTACAATATTAAAAAATATATATCCTATATCTGAAACTACTAAGCGATATTTTATAGTCTATTTAGTTCGGTCACCAATTTTGATAAATGTCATAATATTCTTTATTTCAATAAATTGACATTTTTTACTCCAAATATCAGGCCCTAGCCATGTAAGATCTCCCAAATTTAGTATTCGCGTCACTGTAATCTTATTGTATTAAATAATAATTTGATGAAACTCTATTTAAATTTGTTTACTATTACATTGCTTACATTGTCATTACGATTTAATGTATAAAATAATTTTGTTTGATCACATTATTTCAAGTCAAAAAGTGTAAGCGATAAAAAATATCAGGCCCTAGTCATTTACGAAATTCAAAAATACGCGGCATCCAAACATATGACTTATTCATAACTCACTCAATACGGTAGCATCGGTCTGTAGTTGGTTGCAAACACGAGCCAAGCCGCGGCAGCAATTTTGCTATTAGTGTGGTAACCGACTTTGCTGCGGAAACACGTGCTGTGCCAGTCAAACTCTCAGGCCCTAGGTAAGTCGTTTTAAACATATATAATTACTCATTGATCTCATTACTTATTGAATGTATGAGCTAGGTCTGCTTTGTTATTTTGACCGCCTTTTGATTTTATAGTGATTTAAAATAATAGCTTTCATTTGATTTTGCTTCGTTTCGTCAGTCCCTAGACCGTCAGGCCCTAGTCGTAATAGTGACTAGGGCCTGATGCCACATCTAGGGACTGATGATCATACTGTGTGATGCATAGTTTTAATCATAATACCAATGTATTTGTTGTAGAATATGGCGCCTATAAAGAAAAAAACATTGTCTAAAGAAGACATTGCAAAAAAAAGTCTGAACAGGCAAAGAGGCGATTGGAAAAAATTAAAAATGATCCTGTTTTGCTGGCGGCGTACAAAGAAAAGGAACGACTAAAATATCTAAAGAAAAAGGAAAAAGGACAACGGAAGTGTGTAAAAGACATGACTCCCCGTGAGCACAGAAAGGCAAGAAAAAATTGGGTAGCCTATTCATCTGATTATAGAAAAAACAAAAGATTCGTGACAATACAGATAAATACGTGGACCAAAATACGCCGCCATCATCGGAAGATGAAATTATTCCTGAGGCTCCTTTATTAAATAATGAAAGAGAAGCTGAAGCTTGAAGGAGGAGTATAGTTCAACGGAGAAAAAGAAGTAGTATGTTGAGGAGGAAGGACTTACTCATTGAAAATTTAAAGAAGAAACTTGCCAGCGAACAACAAAGAAACAGAAGACTGAAACATAGAATGATACAAAAGAAGCAAGCACGGACACCAGAAAGTAAAATTGTAGAAATGGCCAACGACCCTAATCAAACTTGGCAGAATTGATAAAAAAAGCGTTATTTGGCGATATTATTCAAAGGCAAATTTTAGATAAAGAGATTCAGACACCCAAAACAAAAACCTGCTTAAAAACGATTTTGTCAAGTCCACTGACACATAAATATAAAATATGGAGACTTGGAAACACAGCCATTACATATAAAAAGATGGGATTTAATCGTACAAAATATGAAGCTATGCGAAAAAAAAAGAGAGTTGAAGAAATCATACACAAGTTTTATGAAGATGACAATAATAGTCGTTGTGCGGCAGGAAAAAAAGAATGCATCACTCGCAAAAAAATTAAAAAACAAAAAAGATATTTGCTGGATTCCTTGAAGAACTTGCATCAAAAATTTCACAATACGAGTTTGATGGAAATTGGGTATAATTATTTTTGCAAATTGCGTCCATTTTGGGTTGTTGTGCCTAAGCTTACAGACCGTGATACCTGTGATTGTGTTATTCATGAAAACATCAATTTGAAGTGGTGCCTTAAAAAATGCAAACGTTCTTGACTTTGCCACATATCAAACTGCACTGGAAACAATTTGCTGTGATCGTTACTCGGAAAAATGCTTAGCGAGAACTTGCCAGGACTGCTCATTGAAGATTTTACCATATAAGGAGTTTGATAATAGTAAGGACATGGCAGTCAAACAATGGAAGCATAGCAAGGAATTGATTAAGGACATTAAAACTAAACAGGATAGATACGCCACAAAGTATAAGAAAGAGATATGCAATTCAAAACCTCGTGATTTAGTTATGCAATTAGAAGAGAGTGATCTCATAATAATTAATGAAAGTCTGAATGTTGTGTTCAAATTATAATTTGGTAACTCAAAACTTTAGAAAGCTGATTATTTAAAATAATTGTTAATTTTTAAAGGACTATTAGTTTGTAAGTATTAAACTCAAAGTATAATTTGATTGTTGAGAAATATTGATAGATTATTTTCAAGTGTATAATTAAAAAAATAAATCCTGTACTGAGATTATAAATCATAGAATTTGTGAACTTACGAGATTACTTTGTTGTTACGGTTGATTTTGCAATAAAAAATGTGATTTGACATAATAACCGTGTTTGGTGTCAGTCCCTATCACTTGTCGTCAGTCGCTAGAACACTGATTTTAAAAAATCATAAATTTCTCTGAAAATATGAAGTAAAGTGACTGGCCCTTTTAGATGCAGCAAAGTAGATGTTATACCTACAGCATAGAATATAAGCTGTTCTGATTTTTAACTAAAAACACCACCTTCAAAATTACATCAGAAGTTAACCAAATTTCAGATAACCACCCTTATATCAGTTTTTCTACTCCTTCATTTCAAGAATTAACCCACTATAAGTTGTAATGCCCAATGACGTTCTATGTTTGATACATCCATAGATAATAAAAATGCAAAACTAGTCTGCAATAATTTTATTTATACTGTCATATAAATAGTTATAATTTACAAAACGTAAACCTAGACTTTACAAAATAGCAATAGGATAAAATCATAGAAATAAAATGAGGGATATCACAATTTTAAAAAAAAGTATTGTAAAAAAATGTACAAAAACGGGAAGCAAAAGCTTGATATATCATGAAAAAGAAAACAATGTGCGCACCACAGTATAACAGCTGTACAATAATATAGTTTTGTTGGATTATATACAATTTGACTAGCTGGTGTAACATTTGTAAATGGTCAAACAAGTTTAAATCTATCATTTAAAATGTAATAACTATATATGTATTGAAGCTTAGTCCTAACAAGACCAATCATATATTTCATTTCAACCTCTTTACAGCTTGATAAATCATTATGCTTCTATTTATCTTTCCTTCAGTCATCACCAATATTGTTGCATCTTTTGGAATCTGTGCCCATATTTTTCAATCATATTCTTTAGTTCATACAAATATGTTTAAGAATACCTGAAGCCACCTAAAGTTGATGCCAATAAGTAAAGGGTAGACTGTTAGACCAATCGGCCCATGCTTCTTACAGATTCTACCTTGCTAATGCTTAAAAATTTGCTCACTAATAACTCAAGAAAAATTTTTGTTATTATGAATGTGTATTCTTACACGAAGCATGATGGGTACCATCTTTGGGTGAATCTGAATATATTTTGCAAAAATATCTGCTTCATTGGAATGAATAACAACTGATCATGTAGGACATCAAACAGCATATATTATGTATGTATATATGCGTAAAATGCAGTTATACTTATATTTGGACTATTCAGTCTTTTATGAAAAATATCTAAAAATCCGTACAAACAGAAAAATTATAATACTTTCAAATTGTCATTTGGTTTGGTTTACAGCAGTTGTCAAAATTTTCGCAGACCAATACATTTACCAACATACAAAATCGAAATGGTACATTCAATTCATTAACTAGGTAAATGTAATATTCTTAGCTCAAAAAATGTTTGGCTGGTAGGAATCTTCTTATCTGAAATACAACACTTTTTTATAAATTTCGAACTAGTTTTCTCACTCAATGTAAACTTTCTCAGCGTAGCACAACCTATAACAGTCACTTATTTACTTATTGTTGTTTTGATTATACTTACTTAACTAATCAGTTAGATCTATCACTTGATTCGGATAAGTTCAAAATAACATTAAAGTATGCTTAAAGGTATCTTAATCGCCATACGGATGTCATGCACTAGATTATACAGTAAGTGTACATATACAATAGAAGACTGTTTATTTTGGAGAACCTTTTTGTTTATTTAATGTAATTTTCCTCTAGAATACACTATATTTTTGACAATGCGAGCTTAATTTCATTTAAAGGTACACACATACTGAGGCGAAACGACACGAAGTGAACCGCGACGACATTTGTCATTTGCACGCGTTAAGAGGTACCTGTTACTTCTCTTTGCGTCGTCCAGTGCGCGGGCTGTCTTTTGATTATGTCCAACGGTACTTAGTCTAAGCATATTAGTAAACTTCCCCGAAATAATTGTAAAGTCTGTTTTTATTGGTGCAAGTTGTTTTATTTTGTGGGAAAACTTTTTATTTGAGAACAAAGAATGAGAAAACGTATTTTTTGGGATTCAATCTAAAGTGTTGACAGGAACGAAAAAACTTTTCATATAAGATTTTTAGGTATTTATGAGACCACACGTAAAAAGATTCGACTAATAGCAAAAATGTTATGGCCGGAAAACCAGGCAAAATGCAGGTTTTGGCATTTGTTGGTAATGCGACGATAATTTCACGCAACTACTTGAAATTCTTCAAATCCCTAGGATTCTTACTTCTAAATGACAACAACAAAATTGGAGTATGTATATTGGTCAAGTAGTTTTTTGAGAATTTCTAATTGTTTATCCCAAAACACCTGTTTTCCGGTCATCACTACTAGTTTATTGAACAATATACACAGTTCGTTCAAAGAGCATTTAATAGCAAAATACATGTGTTTACCGTGCTGATATGAATCACAAACCATTCGAAAAGATAAATGTTATTTTTATGCGAAAACCAAAGGTTACGTTTTATTCTTCTAAACAAATTCAAACATTCCATATTTGAGAGTAATTGAAAACATTCGTTACTATACAAATTTTAAAACAACAACTTTAGTTGCGAATTACTCACAAATACATGACTGAATTTGTTTAGAAGAAAAAACGTACCCATCCTTTTTTGCATAAAAATAACATTTATCTTCCGGAATGGTTTGCGATTCATATCGGCAAGGTAAAATAGTGTATTTTGCTTTAAAATGCCCTTTGAACTAACCCTGAATATTGCTCAATAAGCTAGTATTGATGGCCGGAAAACAGGTGTTTTGGGATAAACAATTAGAAATTCTCAAAAACTACTTGACCAATCTACTCAATTTTGTTGCGGTTATTTAGAAGTACGAATCCTACGAATTTCAAATATCTGCGAGAAACCATCATCGCATTAGAAACAAGTGCTAAAACCTGCAGTTTGCCTTGGTTTTCGACCATCACCTTTTTGACTAGTCGGATCTTTTTACGTGTGGTGTCATTTTCTAGGTCTCATAAATACCTAAAAATCTTATATGAAGAGTTTTTTCGTACCTGCCAACACTTTCGATTGAATCCCAAAAAACACGTTTTCTGTTTCTTTGTTGTTGAATCAAAAGTTTTCCCGCACAAATTGGTGTACCCATTTAATGCGTCCATGTTTTGAATACCCTTTGAACAACTTGCTGCAAATAAAACCAGACTTTACAATTATTTAGAAAACCAGCGGTATTTTCGTCTAATATGATTAGACTATTATTAGATTCGTATCTATAAATTACAACTGAGAAATTCGCGATCCTTAACATTTAATAATATTGTTCCCATTTCCTGTGCATTCTAGAGCTATATCAAAATGTAGAAAATAAAGGACTTCTACATTGATATTATCATGGTTTTACTATTTATATAACTTACCCATCAATAAATGGTTTAACAACAAACCATTTTGATTCAAATAGTTCCCTAAAGTATCATGGGATTATTGATTAATTTATGGAATTGAAAAAATGGAGATTTTGAGATAAATGGTCGCTTTATAGGAACTTGCAATAAATGTCATCGAGTTTTATTATTTTTTTCTTCATTCAGTCAACTTCAATGAACGACTTGGATTTAATGCTAGTTGAACGTTATGGTTTTGTTTCATTTTGCTTTTGTTTAGGGCTGAATGCATAGTCGCTCCTTCAATTGAGGCCTCTTTATTCTGAGGCTCATTTTCCTTGTGAGTATTTGGGTACCTAATTTGATTCTTGATGCGGCAATTACGTACGTTGCCAAGAATGTTAGAGCAGATGAGTTGTACTCAGAGAAGTGAAGAAGCGGGTACGCAATATGGCCCTAAGATATGGTTATCAAATTATATAAAAAAAGCAGTTACTAACTTATGCAGACATCAAGTTTTAGTGTTCTGCACGACTACACACAGCAACATTGGATCATTTTCCTAGTAGAATTCCTAATGAGTGGTAGATACTTTTTGGAACTATGCAATTTCTATCGAGCATAAAGTTTAAACTTATTGTTACTTACTACCTGCAATGTACAAAACCAATATTCCAACAGTGTGCTATATAAAATTTATTATCCTTTCCAGCCAAACACCGTACACTCATCATAAGATAGTGTTTCTGAGCTAATAACAGGCCTTTTGGACCTGATCTGCGAAAGTAACTCTCTTCTAGCTAGGCTGTGGAGGCACCAACATACCACCCTGTAAGGTTTGCGACTGCTGCAGTCTATGCGCAGGTACTGGAGGGCGTTGGGCCTCTACAGCCTGTGCATGAAGGACTTCAGCATATTCCCGGATCAATGACGCGATTTGGAATGCTTGGGATGTTGTCAGAATCACTTTGCTCTGCTTTCCGTGGTCATTTCCTGAAAATTAAATAGAACAATTACACTTATTATTTGTCTATTAGATAAATATCAAAGAATACCATATAAGGGATTTAGTACAGGTTCTCCTGAAACTTCGCTGATTGAAGTTCTTATGGAAACAACTAAACCTAATACTTAATTACTACAGTAAAGCCTTAATTGACATGCAGTTAATGATATAAGTTCACTAATAAGGAAGCACGTTAAGCTGGATTTCGGAAAGCTTAAAAATGGAAAGTAGTATTGTTGATCAGCGAGACAGGTTCTGACTTCTAACGCGTTTTTAGGATAACGTATTGTTAGCAACAAGACAGTATCATTTTAAACAGGTTGATTGAAGCCTAGGCAACTTAATATAAAACATCTTACATCTGAATTGGAATTTACGTATTTGTAAACGTAACCCCTTTCTCTTTTATTAAATTGAGATGT